CTATGAATATTTCTGAATGTGTGTTTGTGCTTGCGATGATCAGGTTTGGCATTAGAAGACAATCCTTCCTCTGGAGGATGGTGGTGATTCAGTGGTGATGGTTCCATGGTAGCCAGCAGTAGGACAAGAGGAAACGGCCACAAACTGAAGCACCAAATATTCCCTAGGAACTTATGGAAAAAATGTCTTAACAGTGAGGGTGACACAGGACTGGAACAGGTTGCCAAGAGAGGTTGTGGAATCTCCTTCTCTGGAGATCTTCAAAATCCACTTGGATGCAGCCCTGTGCCACGTGCTCTAGGTGATCCTGTGCATGCAGGAGGGTTGGACTAGATGATCTCTAAAGGCCCCTTCCAACCTTAATGATTCTATGATTCTATGGTGAAGCCCTAGATTTAGTGCTCGGACAGCTTTGGTGATCTCCACCCTTGGAGCACTGCAGGACTTGGCTGGACAAAGCTATAGCTGCTGTGGTGTAGATGTAGCTACAAACTGCTTTGGGACAGGAGGTTGGTCTGGAGGTTGGAGGTTATCCTTCCCACCATCATTTCTATGAAATGGCAGTGTTCAAGAAACCTGTAGATGAGGCAATTAGGGATATGGTTTAGGAGGCATAGTGTTGAAGGGTTTATGATTGGACTCGATGATCTCTTTTCCAACCATAATGATTCAATGATTCTGTGATGTTCCTTGTGCAGTGCATGTTTGGATACAGGTGCTTGGAGGAGTGTTCTCCAGAGCGTGCATTTGAATCTACCGTCCATGTCTGTGAACATCAGTGCACCTGGCAGCAAACTTGAGTGGCAGTGGGGACGTATTGGGTGATCACCAGGTTCCTGGACATGTCACCATTTCCTTGATACATCAAGGAAATGCACCGCTGGCTGCCTGCAGTTGTGCAACACTGCCAAAGGCAGCGATAACCTCAGAAGTCAGACACTGCTCTGCCACCTATACCCTCGCTATCACCTACGGTGCTGTCGAGCATCCCCGTCCCTGGCGTGGAGACTGCCCAGGTGCTGCCCGCCTCCCGCAGGTACCAGGAGTGGAGCTGGCAGGGAAGGAGGGACCCGGCCGGGCAGCGCATCCCCCAGGGCTGCGGGGACGACGGGGCCGGCGGGTCGCGGGGGGTCGACGGGGCGGCAGCCAGGGAGGCGGCGGGTCCCCGCGGG